GCTGCTTCTCATCTGTGTCTCAGCCTAGACTAGCTGTGGTTTTTCTAAATATAATTGACTGGCTGGTGCTTCAGGCTCAGAGCAGAGGGTGCTCAGAGAGTGAAATTGCCTGCTGTCCCCAGCAGGGTTCCCTCCCAGCTTAGGGAGTATCCACTGCTGCTCTTGTTCCTATTTGGACAGCTCTACAGCACAATTTAGTCCGCCTCCCCATGTCATTTCCACAACCTTTTGTTCTAACCCTGGTCCAGGGCTTGCTGTAGCCTGTGCTTCCCTGCCTGGCATGTCTGTCCTTCCTCAGTCTGTCATTGCTCTGGGAGTCTCGGGGCAGATATTCTTTATAACATCTAGTTTTATTCATTATGGTCATTTAAAACCAAGGGTCTAGAGAGAGAGAGAGAGAGAGAGAGAGAGAGAGAGAGAGAGAGAGAGACCCCAGTGGTAAAGAATAACCCAATTGGTTCCTAGTCACCCACCTAGGTGACTACAACCACCTAGTCCCGCTCCAAGGGATCTTACATCCTCTTCTGACCTCTGTGGGTACCTGAATCCACAACACACATGCACACACATGTACGTACACACAGACACAATTAGAATAAACCTTTACATTTTAAGAAATAAAAACTGGCTTGGTGTTGATAGCTAATTTATATTCTCTTGTTTAAGTACTGTAGTTTATATTAAAATATGATAACATCAAGTACATACCTCTCTTGCATATTTATTATATGAATGAATAAATAAAGTAGAAATATATTAAGGGTGTGTGTTACTGGGAATCAAGCCCAGGGCTTCATGCATACCAGGCAGGTGCCGTTAAACTACACCATTTAAGTTTTTGTCGTATGTTGTATTGTTAGCTTCTGTGTGTGAAGAGTAAAGCAGCCTGGGGGGGTAGCATTCATGAGAGCTGGGCTCCATCCCCAATGCCCAGTAAACCAGGAATGCTAGTACACAGTTCCAGAACTGGGGAGACTAGGAAGATTACTACAAGGCCATCCTCAGCTTCAAAGGGAGTTTAAGGCTAGCTAGCCTGGGCTATAAAAGTATTGTTTTCCATTCAAAAGACAGTCTCTGGTGATTTCTGGGTTTTGATTGTACTTTATTTAACATAAATTTTCAGTTTCGTTTATAATGACTTAGTAAGATGTGCTCCGCAGTCATTACTTTTGGGTACTTACACCCACCATAGGTGAGCTGGCCCGACACAAGCACCACCTCTGGGCGCTCCTCAGTCATGGCTGCTCCTGGATTCCAGGAAGTGCTAGCCTGTTGTTCACATTGTCTGGTATTCTGCCCTTTGTTCAGTCCCTCAGCTGACTATTTTCTGAGAATCGAGCTTCCACTGGCACCTCAGATCAGACAGCCATTCAGAGAAAGGCCTTTATTGACCAGTGACAAGGACTTCCTAGTCCCTGGAGTTCCAAAGGTCACAGGTGCTGTTGGAAGTTTCCTTCCTTTGGATTCAGGGCACCTGTCAAGACACATCATAAATTATCCTTCTTGCTCAAATGTGGGCAGTTTGTTTTTTAATTTCTTGACATACTTTTCAACCCTCAGTGCTGCTTTCTACCCTCTCTGCCTCCTACTGACCCAGCTTCCCCAAAAGACCCTCCTACTTTCTTTCGTGTTTTGGAGTGTGGTGATGCCTTGTTTATGACCTAATAAAGCTTGCCTGAGGTCAGAGAAGCAAAGCAGCCAAGCCACCAGAGAGCTCTTACCTCTCCCTTGACTGGCTGGGGCGCCCTCCTCTCGCCATGGCTGGAGACCAATTGCCAGCCCAGAGACCCTCCTCCTGGCTTTTGTATGGGACCACCACTGCCCAGCCTCTATGGCTGTGGCTCTCTATGCATTCTGATCTCCAGGCAAGCTTTATTAGCTCATGATCAATATATAACCACATGCAGGGCTGTTTTGGGTTTTTGTTGTTGTTGTTGTTTGTTTTCTGTGGTTCCCTGAGTTTGTGTTGCTTACATGAGCCTGAGTGGGGGTTACTTACTGGAGTGGGCATTTTACCAATGGCTATACCACTGAAGAAAATTACTCTCCTCCCATTCTTTTTTTTTTTTTTTTTTTCTTTGAACGCTCCATCCTCCTGCCTCAGCCTTGCAAGTGCTGGGATTACAGGTATACCAGCACACCCACCTTCTCTGCCTTAGTATCTTGTGTTAGTAACTAATTTGGTACTGTCTTGTCAGGAGGCTGTGTGTGACAGTTGCAGAGACCAAACCAAAGACCAGGAGCATGCATTCTGTAGCAGTTAAGATGGGCCTGATGGGGGTGTTCTCGGATGCTTGCTCCCTCGGGGACATTTCCACCCTGTGCCGGGAAGCAGCGCACTGGTGTGGAGTCCGAAGCTGCACACTTACGGGATTAGCACCATCCTTTCGGTCAGTCAGCAGGTTACGTTGAGGACCTGCCCTGGTGCAGGTCTGCAATTAGAGTTGAGGGCTTCACTCTGAACAGACCTGACTGCTTTCAGGAAGGCTTCCCTGCCCTTCCCTGTGGCAGATAGTTTTAAGCAAGAAAGCATTCCACCATGGAGTCAAAAGCAGACATTCACTGTGTGGGACTAGAGCAAATAGGGTAAAGCCAGGGCTGCTGGTCTACTTAGCGAAGCGTTCTGTGCCACATGGAAGCATTTCTTTATGGTCGGACTGGCTTTATGTCTGTCTACTTCCAAAAGAAATAGATATCTCAAGTTAGGATGTGTAAACTGTTGGTTCAAGTTGGAATATAATAATTGGATATAAGAGATAACTTGACTAGTGGTGAAAATGGACTTCCCAAAATACGGAACTTTTGTTCTGCTTATTTTTTTGTTGTTTGTTTTGTTTTGAGACAAGGTCTCATGTAGACCAGGCTGGCCTCCAATCCTCCCTAATTTGATATATCTATTTCTTTTGGAAGTAGACAGACATAAAAGTCTGTCCAACCATACAGAAATGCTTCCATGTTGTACAGAACACTTGGCTGAGTGGCACAAACACCCACCTGCCTCTGCCCCCGGCGTGCTGAGGTTTAAGGCATCTACCTCCACACTTGATATATTTCTGGTTCTTTGAGACAGGACCTCACTGTATAGCTCAGGCTGTTCTCAACTCAACAGCGGTCTTACCTCAGCCTCTAAGTACTGGATAACAGGTGTGCATGAACACCATGACTGGCACTGAGCCCTCTTGTGCCGTCACCATGGTTTCCATACTAGCTTTGTGAACAGTTCAGACTCTCTCGGTTCCAGGTTTTAAGGGAGCCATCCAACTGGAGGCATCTGTCCTGCAGGTGGATCTGTGGGCCTGCCATGCATGGCTGTCATCTAGGTTCTAAGGCCTGTGCCTGGTGTCTCAGTTGGAATCCCCTGTTGGCTGGATTCAGGTCTCATTTCCTCGGGTAGACTGACGTGTCACAGTTTGTGTGCTGGAGAAGTCAAGCTGTTGACACTGTTGTCTTGGTCATATTGGCCAAGAAGGGTCTGTCAGCCTTCAGTTTCCATGGAAGTTTCCTTTGCCATCATTTCCCACTTTGTCTCTTCTCCCCTCTTTTCTTGGTTTATTTCTCAGTGGGCTGGAAACCCTGTTGGAAAAGGGGATGTGGCTGCTCTCGTTGGCTTTCCTTTGGAATGGCTGTAGGGGGATGGGAGGACTTCTTTATCTTTTCAACTGAGCTTGTCATTTTTGCTACTTTGTTTTACATTTACAAAAGACATTTTTGTTTGGTGTGACATAGCATCCTGTTCTTAATTGCTGAATATGAGATCTTACTGTTTGAGTGTACAGCTTATTTTCAGGCTTTCTGTACTCTGCAGTCTGTGTCCTCTGAGGGCCCTTTCCCTGGCCCTTGTTTCCTGTTAGATGAGCCATCAGGGAGAGTAGAGGCCCACAGGCAGGTAGATAGAGCACCAAGCAAACAGGCATATCCAGATGCTGGAACCCTATGGGGCTTCCTGCTGTCTGGTCAGGTCACCTGAAGGCCTCCCACCTGGAAAGGAAGTAGAGCTGCGGCCCCCTGTGAGCATCTCAAAGAAGGCAGGGCCTGAGCTCGGGCATGTACAGCTTGTCTAGTGAGTCGCTCTCTTTACGCTGCGCAACTTGCAACTTCCGCTAGTCTGGAGACCTGGTTGAGTCTTCCATAAGTCACCCTTTGATTGCTGCAGAGGTAAGAGCCGGCATAGCAGCTGAGGAAGGCGGGTAGTGGCATCTAGCCCGCTCAGAGGGGGCCCCATCCACCTCCCAACTAGGAGTCTCGCCCTTCCAAGGTGACAGCTGCCCACACCCTGCATGTCTCTGGGGGTGTGTGGGGCTTCCCCGCTGCTGAACTGTTTGATTTCCACCTTGTGGACTGCTGTCGCCATGGCTTCTTCTCCTATCCCCTCTTCACTGTGGTAAAGTCTACCAACCCTAAAGCCAAGAGGTAAAACTGTTTGTAGATATACAGTTTCATGGTAGTAGCACATGCACAGTGCACATGCGCTTACCATTGCTAATGAACAAGCAGATTGCTCCAGATTGTTCCCCGAGACTGTGGCATCCCAGCAAGAGCAGGGTGGGCCTGTGTGGTCCACTGAGCAGGAGGAAGCTGCTTCGTTCATGCAGGGGCGTGTTTGCCTCCAAAGACAGCAGTTGGATGGTGGATTGTTTATTGCCTTGTTCCTTTCCAGAAGGTTCCAGTTGGAACTCCCAGGCCTGACATTCCAGCACTTCAAGATCTAGCCTGCCCACCACATCCTCCAGCCATCTGCCATTTTTCCCGCTGCCCACTCACTGTTCCTGACATAAGCCCTCTTGCCTCTGCTAGCTGGCCTTCCTCAGTAGTGCATCCCTTCCTCCTGCCTCCCAGCCAGGCCTGGGCCTGCTCGGCATGCTTTGCTCCTGTAACCTAGTATGTACCTCTTTGCTGTCTGTTCTGCCCTCAGTGCCTGGCTCATCTCTGATGCTCCGTTAACTGTCTGGATAAATTCCTGGTGTAGATTCCAAACGAAAACTCGTCTTCCTTTTTTGTAGGATATTCGACATGAAGCCAGTGACTTCCCATGCAGAGTGGCGAAACTTCCTAAGAACAAAAACCGGAACAGGTACCGAGATGTCAGCCCCTGTAAGTACCCACTGTTCCCACTGCCCCACGCACACTTCCCAGTTACAGGCTGCCGTTGTCCAGGGTGGGGCAGAGGCTGTGTGTGACCTCCTTGTCTCCTGTGATAAGCACCGGAGACGCAGCGTCATAGCTTGCTTTCACTGTTGCAGACACTGGGGCTCCAGTTTCTGGAAATGTTGGTGGTTCAGAGCCCTTCGTTTTAGCTCTATGTTGTGGTGAGTCATTTTCCTCCCTGAAGTGCAGTGGCTTGGGCTTAGTGTACGGCCTCTTGGGGGTGACTCAGCAGCTATGCCACTGGCCGTCAGCCCGGTTAGGAGCCACAGTGATGTTCACACTGCTCCACTCCACCAGATGTGTAGATCCAGCTGGCCCTTGGCTTCACTGCCCTTGGCTTCACTGCTTAGGACTGGCAGTGCCCACTACCCCTTCTGCCTGGCTCCTCGTCTAGAAATGCTTCAGAGTAAATAACCAAATGTGTAGAGTGTGTGGAAAACAAGAAAAGCCAGAACTGGGCTCAGGGTCTGAATCTGCCCTCAGCACCCAGGAATCCTTGAAGTCTGTAGACATTATTCCTCAACAAGGATTGTGTCTGCTCAAATCGACATGGCTGTTGATCAAGTTCCTGGAGAGACATACAGTAACTCTAGGGTTGAAACACAAGCTGTGCCTCTTGGCCTGCCACCCTGGTAGCTCTGGTTGTCAGTAACATGGGGGTCACACCTACTTTGCAGGAGTGTGTGAAGGTGAAACAGCAGTATAACTCACTAAGCCCAGTGCCCCCTCGAGTGTGCATTTGGTAAACATGGGCCATTTGAAGTGCACACGTAGGTCCTTAGGTAGAGGGTGACTGCCTGTACCCCAGCATCTGCTATTTTAAACTTCTTGGCAGAGGGACATCAGAGATGTTTATGAAAACAAAGTGACATAGTGAAAACCCCTGGAGAGCAATGTGACTGTGTGAGACTGTCCCCTTTTACCACTGCCAGGGTACCCAAGGGTATCCGTCAGCTGTCCTAGATGGCGGCCCGCAGCTGCAGTGTCCCCACATGGGGTTAGTCTCAGCATTGAACCCCAGTCATACCCTTGTCTCTCTTTTTCTCTGCACACTCTAGAAGAGGAGGAGCTTTCTGTTCAGGCTATGGGTGCAGGAAAGAAGGGCCAAGGTGAAAGACTTTTCCAGCTTAGAGTGCAGCTGGTGCCCACGGCTATGGAGCTGGCACTGTGTGTGCAGACTCTGAACACCCCACAGCCCTCTTTAAACCTGCTTGTGTTCAGCAAGGAAGTTAACAAGACGAAGAGTTTGCCCAAGGCCAGCTGGTGCTATTGGAGCCCTTGAGGTCACCACTCACACAAGGGTTTTGTTGTTTGTTCTTTGAGGTTCATGCTGCCCAGACAGGCCTCAGACTTTCTCTACCCCCAAACCTAGCCTTGAACTCAAGATCCTCCTATCTTCTTGCCAAGTGTTGGGATTATAGGCGAGTGTTTACCAGGCCTGGTGGGCTCAGCCAGTCAGTCTGTCTACCCACCTACCTACTGGCTTTTTTCTTTTTGGTCCTCTTAAGAGTAACCCAGTTATCTCCTGACCTTGGCAATGGGAAATGGCAGGAACAGAAGCCTCAGGTCTGGTCTCGGCTGTTCCCTTTCCCTCTGGGCTCGAGAAAGAGGTGATTTATCCTGACCGCTTTCCGCTATGCTGTAGCAGAAAGAACAGGGTGGCCCTTGGGAGCCCCTGCTCTTATGACAGGGTAGTGAGGGAAACAAACAAAAGCATGGTGCTTTGTCCAGAGTCTGTGGCAGAGTTCCCTAGCGAGTCTGTTACTACTAGATTATGTCTGTGTGAGAGGGTTTTTACTTCATTAAATTGCCCCCATTCCCTTGAGACGGTCTCACTAAGCAACTCTGACTGTCCTGGAACTTGCTGTGTAGACCAGGCTGGCCTTGAACTCCTGGGTGCTGGGATTGAAGGTGTGTGCCACCACTACCCATTTTAAATCCCCTTCTTAGTGTCTAATCATAATGTCTAAAAGATCTTGAGTCACTTCATTGCTCATGGCTTGCTGCTGTGCTGTAGGTGGATATTCTCTCTGTAGTGCTTGAGAGGCCTGGGCCAAGTCATCAGTCGGTCCTGCCTGAGATGCCTCCGTTCTTGGCAAATTGCTTCCTTTTTAGAGCCTTGATGTTACCCTGGGAACCTGTGTTAGGCACCAGGAAGTGGATCCTTGGACTGCTGTGGTCTGGATGGGGGAGGGTGATGTTGTCACTTGAAAGGATCTGCCTTCCCAAGGAGGGCGTGGTCTGGAGTTGATGGCTGTTGCTACGGAATGTGACATTTCTGGTACTCAGCTGTCTTGAGAATGCCAGTCACCCCACAGATGACTAGTGTCACCTGAACAGTGAGGCCCCTGCCCTGCCCTGCTGTGGTGCGTGCTCTCCGGGCTGTGGGCCCTCTCTGCCTCCCTTTAGAATGGAATGCAGGCACTTGGACCCCGGCTGACCCAGCTCTGCTTTGTCTTTCAGTTGATCACAGTCGGATTAAATTGCACCAGGAAGACAATGACTACATCAATGCCAGTTTGATAAAAATGGAGGAAGCCCAGAGGAGTTATATTCTCACCCAGGTAACAGGCTGTCTGGACTATTTTTTTCTTGTCACCTAAGAGTTTGGATCAGATAAGATCAGATAAGATCATCATGGTCTTGAGAAGTTTAGGCTTCTCCATTCATGCTTCTCCGTCAACCAGAAAACAGCAAGAAAGGAAGCATGCTCCCTCAGACTCCGTGTGGTCACAGCATCTTCCCGGGCACTGGGAGGTGACACACTGAGCTGCCAGGTCTCCTGGTCATGTGACCTGGCATTGAGTGCTTCTGACAGCAACTGAGAGAGTTAGCAGTCAGCCGGGCACCTCTGTGCCTTCCAGTGTTCTTCTGGGCCTCATTTGAGGACGTGACATCTCTTAAAAGTCCCACAGCTCTGGGCTTCCTTCTGAGAAAGTGTGATGGGCATCATGTAACAAACTTCATGGTATGTGACCAGAAGACTATCTGGAAAGAGGATGGAAGCTTAGTCTCAATTGTTTTCTCCATTCTAAGCCTGTTACCCACAGGTTGGTGTAAAAGGACATGTGCTGTCTATCCTAGTCTCCTTTGCCATTCCTTATCACATAGCCTGTGCTGTAGGGTGTTTGAGCATGACAGCTCTGCCTGTTGTTTGGAAATCAAATCCTGATGAAGTCAGAACTCAGAGCCAGCACTCATCCATCACAGCCCTTCTCCCTTTTTGTCCCATGCCAATTTGTATGACCAGAAGCATCCCAGGTGTGTCCCTGTCCCATCCCCTCTGTCCCCTCCACCTCACCCCACCGTCACCTCCCACCCTGACCAGTCAGCATGTGTAGTTTCACTAGGCTGTCTTCAGTCCTGTGGATCTTGGGCCAGCCTTCCCAGATGCAACCAGGAAGGGTCCTCCCAGCACCTCTGTTTGAGTGGGCAGCTGCCTGAGATTCCTGAGGAAGGCAGGGCCTGCTGTTGAGAGATTGAGGCACCAGTAACTTCCTGAGAATCTGCATACAGCATTCTTGGCTTCAGCCATTCATCTGTAGCTGAGCTCAGAAAGACTTGGTATGGGTGTTGACCCATTACAGGATATGTAATGCCCTTAGCATTTTTTCTCTAAGGGACTGGGGTTGGGGCTTAGTGGTAGAGTACTTACTTGCCTGTCATGTAAGGCCCTGAGTCCAGCCCTCCATGTTCCACAAAAAACCCACTGCTAACAACAGAAAGCATTTATTAGACCCAGGTGCTGTGGTTTATACCTGTGATCCGGGCACTTGAGAGGCTGAGGCAGGAGAATTGCCACATATTTAAGGCCAGTTGGGGATACATAGTGAATCTCACAGGCCAGCCTGGCTGGACTTAGGCCCTGTTTAGAGAGACTGAAAGAGAAACTCAAGCATTACTCTACCCCAACCCCAGGCTCTGGGCAATTTTGTGGGACCTGTGACATTCTGCTGTGCAAGGTGACACCATGTGCATTCAGAGATGGCTCCTATAGCCCTAGGGGTTTCAGAGAGACTCAAAATAGTCTGACCCCAAAGGAGTGTTTCTGACAGGGAGACACAAATGTTTTCCAAATCACAAACTAAGAACCCCTCCCTCCTTAGTTCAGTGCTATTCCTATGGAAACCACTGTCTGTGGCCTTGTGTTGCAAAAGGTGGAGGTTGGAAAGAGCAGGGGATGTAGGGCTGCCCTTCATCTCAAAGCCTGGACCGAGTACCCTTAGGTCCTGAAAACTACTGAGAGCTAGGTGGCGCTTGGGGATAGGAGCATAACTGGTGAGTTGCAGGGTGCATGCAGCTTGTACCCGTGGTGGTGCTGAGGGTTTGGATCCTTGTGCAGTCCAGAGGACGAAGGACCTAGGTGGCCATCAGATACCCTGGACACCTACCTGCCACCCGCTGGCTCTGTGTCATGCTTTTGTCATTCATCTATCACCACCCACCATCCCTGGGCAGACTCCCTGCTCAGCAGGTGCTAGCCATGCCCTCAGGCCACCTCCCCCATGTTCCTTGTTCCAGCTCTCAAGTGTCCATGCTTAGACTCAGCAGTACTAGTTGTAAGGAGAAAGTGCGCTCTGTCCTGGGCACTCGCTCTGTTCTGGGTGCTGTGTCGTGCCCTTCACCCACAGCACCGCTGCTGCTTATACAGCCTGTGAACCAGTGCTGCTCAGTCAAGCGGGCCTGTGGGGAAGCAGGCAGAGGGAGGTGGAGGGACTTGCCTGAAGTTAAAGCAAAGGTTGCAACTGCCAGAGCACAGTGGGGGCCCTGCCCCGTGCTGCCCCTCACCTACACAGGAGCCTTGTCCTGTACCCACCGGCTCTTAGGCAAGGAGCCCAGTAGAGCCCCTCAGCCACCAGCCCAGATCAAGAGGCAGTCTGTGCTGAGGTGCAAAGGTGACCTTTTACCCCATGATGGGATGTGGGTCTGGGTGACTGACCATAGGACAGCAGTCTTGGCAGCCATTCTGCCTGAACCTGCAAACACTGTCACTGGCTGACTGTGTGTGGTACAGTGTGTGTCTTGTGTGTTTGCAGGGCCCTTTGCCAAACACATGTGGGCACTTCTGGGAGATGGTGTGGGAGCAGAAGAGCAGGGGTGTGGTCATGCTCAACCGCATCATGGAGAAAGGCTCGGTAAGTCCACACCATAGCCCCTTGCTGCCACTGTCTACGTACACAGCCCATAAAGCTCCTGTTAGGAGCACTACTTTCCTGCCAGCCTGGTCCCACGGCTGTGTCAGCCCCAAATAACACACAGAGACTCTGTAGTAGTTATGAAACCATTGGCCTATTACTAGCGTTTCTTATTGGCTAGCTCTGTCTTAAATATTAACCCATTTCTATCAATCTAAGTAGTTTCCACGTGGTCTTATCTTACTGGAGAGAGGGTCCCAAACTCTTACTCCTCTTGTGTCCATCATTTCTCTTCCTCTCTACTACATCTCCCAGAATCCTCCTTGTCTCCTAGGCCCGCCTATCTTGCTTCCCTATAGGCCAACCCTGCTTTATTCATTAACCAATAACAGAATGACATCTCCCATCAGGCTCCTAGTCCCCCCCATTTTCTGTCTCCTAATTCCTTTACGTGGCACCTTTTTATTTTAAAAGAAAGGTAAACATTACGTAAATACACATTTGTACAAACAGATCAAGTACACTACAGAGAAAGCAGCAGTCCGGGAGCTGCGGAGCCTGATGCAGGCGTCTGCCTTAGTGGCTATACTTTCTTTGTGCTGCCTGTGTAGTGAGTCTTTACCAAGCCCACCTTTGTCTGCTCAGACTATGCCTCTTGTAGGCAGAGGTGGCTCTGCAGAGCTGTGGGACACCAGCTTCCAGGTTTGATGTGCCACCATAACTTCTGCTGGTGAGTTGACTTCAGGACACGTGGCACTGTAGTTCTCAACTCTGGAAACATCTCCCTCAGCTCTGTCCCTTCAGCTGCCCCTGCCCTTCAGCCTGTTGCTTTTAGCCCCTTTTGTCTCACACTTCCAGAGTGGTCTGTGTTACTCGGGTCTCACCACACTCACCTCTGACGGTAGTCATTGATGCGGCCGGCAGACCCTGAGTGGCTGGACCAGCCTCCTGGGCCCTTCTCTCCCACTCCCCAAACCATAGCCCAGACAGACCTCTGTTTCTTACCCCGTTCTTTGGGCCGGTGACACTGTATCTTAGGTCTGGGCGTCATCAAACAAGCAGTCCTCCATCCCGTCCCTCTTCCCATTCCTGTGATGGGCACTGAGGACTGGCTTTAAGTGCTGTCCAAGACCAGCATGGGGCAGATCCAGAAGCTCTTTCTTCCCTCCGTGGACGTGGTTGGCACTTAAGACTCTCCAGCCCCAGAGAGTGAGGTCCCTGGAAATGATGAGCTGAGGATTATGGGACCAACCGGAACGATAGCCAGGAGCAGAGAGTGGGGTGTCCTGGGCCTTGCCAGACACAGCTGCTGTACTGTCTGTTGCTCAGGTGGGGACTGTTCACTGCTGCTCTAGCTTCCTCAAGCTCTCGAGAACATGAGGTTGCCAAAGAATCTTTCCATCCCCTCCAGAGACAGCGGTCACACCCGAAGGTGGGACCAGGTGCACAGAGTGAGGACAAGCAAGTTGTACCCACCCACAGAGCACAAGGGTCCCAGTCACTCATGGTAGCTTCCTTATGGTTGTGTGGTTTCCGCCTCCTGTTTTTATTGAACATGGTAATAACAGATGCAGAGGCAGCCGGTATGGTCAGTTGACAAAATGACAAAATTATCAGATATGGGGGCTGGAGGGAGAACTCAGTGGCTAGGACTGCTTATTGCTCTTGCAGAGGACCCGAGTTTCATTCCCAGCACCCACAGCAGCTCACAGCCACCTGTAATTCAAGCTCCAGGGGTTCCAACAACCTCTTCTGACCTCCATGGGTACTAGGCAAGCACATGGCATACAGACATATGTGCCAGCAAAATGCCCATGCATATAAAAAGTAAATAAAATGTTAAACCCTTTTTTATAAGTCACCAGATGTGGCAGGGTTTACTGTGCATGTGTTAAAGTGTACACATGCTTATGTATATAATTATACATGTAAGTATATTGTTGTAGTTATCAGTTTGCATTAGCAGCTGGTGTCACATTATAAGGAATGGTGACTGCTCTGTAGTTGAATAACTGCCACCAGGTCTGGCTTTCAGCACCTTGGGCTTGCCATAAGTAGACCCACTGTGACTACCTTCCCCAAGATTCCTGTGGTAGCTGTTGGAAGCACAGCTGGTTCGCTGGTTGCTCTTTCCCATGACAGCATGCAGTGGGCCTTTAAAACTGTTTTGTCCCCTTAGAGTCATTGGGACAGTGTGCTTTGTGTGGGATGCACACCAGAACCCCAGGGGTGGGTGGATGACAAGGATGGTACATGTTGCTGCTCCACTCACCTAGTCCCAGCCATCCCCAGCCCGGGAGAGCTGGTTGCAGAAGCCCTGGACTGCACGTGCACTCTGTGCACTGTGCCCTCTTTCCCCTAAGGCATGTAGGAGCTACCTTCCTGCCTTTGATACATGGACTTAGTGCTTATGAAACCAGCTATGCTATAGGCTGTTTGCATTAGACTGGGGTGACCCAGGGGCAGCCAGACTTCTTGTTAGTGCGATTTGAAACTTACCTTAGACATGGCACTGTGGTCTGTGTGTGTGTAAGTGCAGGACTTTGTTGTTTATACAGTGGGAGGCAGCGAGGTGAATACAATTTATTGTTCCAGAACACAGCCTGTTTCTCTCATAAAACCCTGTGGGAGCTGGAGTTGGGATTCAGGCACTTGTTACTCTAGGATCCTTAGCTCTCAGACCTGCTCACTTGTCAGTATTAGCATCCTTTGGAGATGAAAACAAGCCCCACCCTGTCAGAGAGACAGCACTGACCGTCACAACTTCTTCCTCAGACTGTCTGGCTCTTTGTTGTGTGAGCTTCAGGCTTCATGGTGGAAATGACTATTAAACTTGGGATGCCAGCATACTGACATTGCCACCTTCCTGTCCGGGGCTGGCCAACGGGCTTTGGTATCAGACCCAGTGATGGCCTGCTCACTTTCCAGTAAAAGTCAGGCTTCCGATCAAGGCAGTGTGTGCGTGCCACCAGCTAACTGGAAATAGGGATTGTGTGCTGTTCTGTTTTGTTGTGTGTTTAATACAGAAGTTTTTATGGGAAATGACAAGAGTTGAGTGTGTTCCTATAGACACCTAATTAAATGTTGGTTGATGGACATTTGGCTGTGTGCCAGAATGCCTCTGAAGTCATAGATAGGTTTTGCTTAGAGTAGAGAGCTGTCAGGCTTGCTCTGGGCTTCTGCTGTGGAAGTGAAGGTTAGAGTCTGCCCGCCTTGCCTCTGAGGTGAGGCTGCCCACCCGTCTTCTGTACTGACAGCCCCTGGCATTCTCCCTACTCATGTTGAGTGCCCACCCTAGCGTGGTGGTCTGGGGCCTGACTGTGGGGATAAGTGACTCATTCAAGTCTCTCCGTGCGGTCATTGGCACCTTGCTTCTGTGTAAAGGTGTCAGGATGTGCTCCCGTGCTGAGGGGCCCACCCCTCCAGCTGGTCTTCAAAGGTGGGATGGGTCATGGGTTGAGCAGGCCAAACCTTGAAACCAAGCTCTTGAGAAAGCCCTCTCGGCTTCTGCCCTGGGATTGGAAGTCTCCTTCCCTCTTGGCCTTGTAAGGCCCTTGCTTCCTTTTATATTGGTTGGGGAACAACACTGAGCCCCAGAAGGGCAGGACCAATAGGCCTCTGCAGTTCTGTTCAGCCTTGGCTCCTCCCAGCCCCAGATGACGTCTCTGGCCTCTGGGCCGCCACTGTGCTCTGGCCTTCCTTGTCATCGCTCCTGCTTTCCCTGAGATACTGTCTACCCTGTCACCCATCAGAAGCTTCTCTCCGAAGAGCCTCTTTGACATCTTGCTTTGCTTTTGGTAGCCTAAGCATCCCCTCTTCTGAATCCCTAGCTCAGGGTCTCCCCTCCATGCTCTCCCCATCCGTCCACCCAGAGAGAGGGAGAGCATCTCTCCCAGCAGACTGGGCTAGCCCTGGAACAGGTCAGGCATGCGAGTTCTGTGTTCTGTCTCAAAGAGCAACTCACTGCATTCCTTGGGGAGGATCAAGGTCTTTCTTTGGGTTTCCTCTGCCTACACACCCTATCAGTCCTGCCTTGGAGACCCAGAACAGCTGCCTGCCACAGGACAACCGTACAAATCCCTGAACCTAGTTCACAGGGATCTGTGAGACAAAGATCCAGCCCCATCTCCTTTCCTAAATCCCAGACCAAATCTTTGAGTTCATCAAAAACTGTAATTACCAGCTCTTGGATCAAGATCAAGTATTTTCTGAAGTTACCAGAATATGGTCAGGAGTACCTTCTGAACGGAACCAAACGGGAAGTGAGCCCCTGCAAGTTGTTCCCACCTCTAGCCAGCTGACTGCAGCCCCTCAGCCTGACAAGGCTCCAACCCTCCATCCTGTGGCTGTGGGTTTCTTCATGGGGCTCTGGTCATACTGAAGGCATCTGTGAGGGGCACGGCTTCTGTGTGGTGTGGCTTTACTTCATGGCGAGGACCAGAGCCCTCTGTGCTGAGCTGATAAGTTGCTGGGTGGGAAGTGTGAGCCCTGCCACAAAGCTACCGGGACAGGCAGACCTGACCTCTGATTCATCATAAAGCTAGCAGACTGCCTTCCAAGGCTCCTGTCCCATGTAGCAGTCACTCAGAGTAATCTAGTGTTGTTCTTCCCCAGTTAAAATGTGCCCAGTATTGGCCACAGAAAGAAGAAAAAGAGATGGTCTTTGATGACACAAACCTGAAATTGACCCTGATCTCTGAAGATGTCAAGTCATATTACACAGTGCGACAGTTGGAGTTGGAAAACCTGGCCGTGAGTATGGCGCGAGCATCGTCTTGCAGAAATTGTTGGCTGGCTTCCTCCTTAGTCCTCCTCGGGTGCTAGTTCCAGCTGCAGTGTTCCCAGGAATTGAGCCCCGGGTAGTGTGGCTCCACACCGTGGTGAGCAGGGCTTGCTGTGTAGGAGCCAGTCCCCAGCACCGATGAAACACAGAGTGGGACAAGCCCCTCCCCAGCGCGCCCTCACCTTTGACACCAGTTAACACAGTTCTAAGGGGAAAGGCAGTTTCTTACCTGAGAGTGGTCTGCTCTGCCGGTGGGACTGGAGGGCTGAAGCGGTACCTTCAAGAGAAGTGACAGGAGGCTTGCGCCTTCCTTGTTGTCTGGCCTACTGGGGAAGGATGCTCACCCCGCTGCCCAGGTCTCCTGCAGCTGAGACTTTCTAACCAGGTCTTGGGTAGACTTGCTTACTAAGAGGAGGGCCTGGGCATGACAAGACCCTAGAGTTAGGAGCAACAGAAGCTCTGCTCGTGGTACAGAGCTGTGACTGAGGAGGCCATGTGGGTCCCAGGCATGGTGGAGCTACTGTTGGCCCACTTTGGCTGACTGCTAGAGTAGGACCAAGGGACATCTCCCATGTCTTTCTTCTTCTAGTTTCAGACTCGAGCTTGCAAGGGTTCTGGGAAGTCATGGGTGAGAGGTTAAAAGGTATGTGGGATCCAGAGGCAAAGGGGTTTTGGGGGTAATGGCCAGACCACTAGAGTACAGCTTATGGGGCCATAGGGAAGGGTTGGGGTCTGCTGCAGAGTGACAGTAACTTTCTCTTAGATTCCTCATGGCTCCGTGCTCATGGTAAGACCAATTCCAGAACTTAGCTCAGGTATCTGGAGTATAGAGAGGGGCAAGGCCCTGTCATGACCAAGCAGAGAAGCCTGGAGCATGGGATGAGATCCCTGAAGCTCTAGAATGTCACTGGTCGGGGTTGGGGACATAGGCCCTGTCTAATGCTTTCCATCGTTTGCCAGCCTGGCTTTGAGGGTGATTTCTGATCATCTTTGGGAACCATCTGCCGCTTGAGGGAAACAGAATTCAGAGCGAGCACTCTAAGTGTGTGGTAGCAGAGCACAGGAGGAGTGTCGAGGCTTTGTTTAGGGATGTGCTTTCAGGGCTGGTTTGCTTGTACTAGGATAGGTCTCACTAGCAGCCCATTCTGGCTTCACATTTACTGTGCTGACTGAGTGCTGGGGTTGCAAACACAAGGCCAGCTCAAGGTTTGAACATTAGGACTTTTCTAGGGCCTAGAACAGAGTCCTTTTAAAAGGATGGGAAGAGGATGGTAGGAGACGAACCCATGTTCTTTGTAGGGACTAAAAGAAGACTCTTTTTGCATACTTTCTCCTAAACCACTTCGTAAAGTATATTTGAAGGTCCTCCCTCCCTGCACTGCGTACAAGTGGTGTTTGCTTTTGCAGGGCGGTGGGCAAAGCTGCCACAGAGTCTTCAGATGCCAGCTTTGCCCAAAACCCTGTGTCTAGTAACCACACTGTGTTTGTACCACAGCGGGGACCTGTTATGAGTAGGTTTTTCCCTGCCGGCCTGGGCCCACTGCTGCACCAGCCCCAAATAACACACAGAGACTCTGTATTTGATATAATTCTGTTGGCCAGTTACAAGTTTCTTACCGGCTAGCTCTGTCTTAATTATTAACCCATTTCCACTAATCTAGGTACTTCCACGTGGTCTTATCTTACCGGAGAGACTGGCATCCTACCCTGTAGGTCCTCCATCTTGGAACTCCTCCCTACTTCTTCCTCTCTTCTCCTAGTCTCCTAGTCCCACCTATCTTGCTTTCCTATTGGCCAACAGTGCTTTATTCATTAACCAATACAAGAAACATTTACAGAATGACTTCTCCCATCAGGGACCTCCTGTATGTTACAGCCAGACAGCACCTTGGTATCATCAGGCCTAGCGTCTGTATCTCCATCTTGTCCTCTCTCAGACTGCTGGCCCTGTCTGTAGTTCTGGGTACCTGCCCTCGGGGGTCTTGCCTACAGTGGCCTCCTTTTAGAGTACTGGACTGTAGCTGGGTGGCGGTGGTGGCACACACCTTTAATCCCAGCACTCAGGAGGCAGAGGCAGGTGGATCTCTGAGTTTGAAGCCAGCCTGGACTACAGAGTAAATTCCAGGACAGCCAGGGCTACACAGAGAAACCCTGTCTTGATTAAAAAAGAAAGAATGCGCTGGGCAGTGGTGGCTCACAAGCGAGTTCCAGGACAGGCTCCAAAGCTATACGGAGAAGCCCTGTCTCAAAAAACCAAGGGAGGGAGGGAGGGACGGATGGACGGACTAAGGAAGGACTGCGAAGCAGGTGAGATAACTCAGTGTGTAAAGGTACTTGCCGGTGACCTTACAAGTTGTCTCTTCTGACCTCCAGATGTGCACACAGCATGTGGCACGGCACCCCCAAAATAAGTATTTGTAAAAATCCCGGGTCATCTGGGGAAGAGCAGAGTTGAAGCTGTGCTGGAGGCCATTCGTTTTGCTCAACTACAGGGCACTGGGGGACAGTTCTGTGAGTGGGTGTGGTCCTTGAGGTGAATGAGGCCATGGCAAACCCACAGGCAGTCACCACTGGAATCGTGGCTGATGCTGCACCTGTGTGGCAGCTGCCTTCCTGGCAATCCATCTTTGGAGACTTGAATTAATCATGTTTTCTTCCAAATCCTGAACCATCCCAGGGGGTCTCCCTGAGCCACCCAGACCTTATACCTGCTGTCACCACCACCCCCAGCCCCCCACCCCCACCCTCCCACCTTCTGAGATTTAGGGTGCCAGTGGCATCATGGAGACATTCAGGCTAAAATGATTGTGGCCATATGTGCATGGGTGTAGAAGGGACAGAAAGATGACAGGATTGTCCACTGAGTAAGGCTGTGGCCAGATCAAGCCAGTGCACACTGAGGAAGGCTGGGTAGGAAGTCACTTGATGCTCATGTGGGACCTGAGCAATCGATGCTCTCAGCCTAACCGCAGGTCTCCCTCTTTCAGACCCAGGAGTCCCGGGAGATCCTGCATTTCCACTACACCACGTGGCCTGACTTTGGAGTTCCTGAGTCGCCTGCCTCCTTCCTCAATTTCCTTTTTAAAGTCCGAGAGTCAGGTTCACTCAGCCCGGAGTATGGCCCCGTCGTGGTACACTGCAGTGCTGGCATCGGCAGGTCGGGGACCTTCTGTCTGGCTGACACCTGCCTCTTGCTGGTGAGGAAGCTTTACAAGCCCAGGAAGAAAGGACGCATGCTTGGACCCACCCTGCTGCCTGCAGTTTCTGTCACTGTCCATGGGCACCCTTCCTTGGGGGATGCTCTGTGTGGCCTTTGCCTTCTAGCTTTGTTCACAGGGTGCACCCAAGTTCCCAAGAGCCGGGCATCCTAGAAGTCCCTGAGGTCTCTTCTAAGTTCTTTCAGCTTGGTCCAAAGGGTCCCGGGTCCCGGGTTTGCTGCATTTTTCTCCCATTTCCTGGAGTCCCTCCACCACTCCTCAGTGGCTTTCCTGGCTGACCCAGTCTCCCTGGCTTGCAGATGGACAAGAGGAAAGACCCCTCTTCTGTGGATATCAAAAAAGTGCTTCTGGAGATGCGCAGGTACCGCATGGGGCTCATCCAGACGGCAGACCAGCTGCGCTTCTCCTACCTGGCTGTGATTGAGGGGGCGAAGTTTATCATGGGTGACTCCTCAGTGCAGGTCAGTGCTGTCCTGCTCAGCATGTGTGTGTTGGTGTCGGGGTTCGGTTCCTAGCTGGGGATGGACCTTATAGCCTATGCGTGCCCATCAAGGCTCTGAGCTTTGCAGGGAGCTCCAGCTCTTAGAGGCCAAAGGGCGTAGCTCCCTTCTGCTGCCAGCTACTCTGCAGAACCTGAGTGGAAGAGTAGGCTGCTTGGTTCCCTAAAGACTCTGATGGTGCAGCCGTGGTCCCAGCCCTTTGGAAATAGAGGGAAGACAGCAAGAGTCCATGGCCTGCCTGAGACCCTACCTCACAGTGAACAAGTTTATCTTCGAATAATTGCCAGGAGCCAAGGAGCCCAGAGCTGCTGCTGAGCTGTGGGCTGCTCACCTGGGGAGACCCAGAGCAAGTGCTAATGGGCTTCTGATGCTGTGCTTCTCAGGATCAGTGGAAGGAGCTCTCCCACGAGGACCTGGAGCCCCCACCCGAGCACGTCCCCCCACCTCCCCGGCCACCCAAACGCATCCTGGAGCCTCACAATGGGAAGTGCAAGGAACTCTTCTCCAATCACCAGTGGGTGAGCGAGGAGACATGCGAGAATGAAGACAGCCTGGCCAGAGAGGAAGGCAGAGACTCCTCACATGCCATGCATAGCATGAACAGGTGATGGAGGGCCTGGCTTGGGGTGGGGGTGGGGGGTAAAAGGAAGGAGCTTGTTGTCCATAAACACACCTAGGCACTGAACACCTTGAGGTTCAGGAGGTGTTTGTGCATGCTTGAGAAATGATACTGCCTCTATCCCGGCAGAAAGTGCCCATTGTCCCTGGGTGTGCCTATGCAATGATAGGTTCTAATGGGTTCCAGTGCCACCTTGTGGTGCTTGTCTGATCTGCTCAGTGCTGAAACCGGGCAGGTGTTGCCGCGTGCTTGCTTACCCTGGTGCAAACATGGTTGAGCACCCGCTGATACCTGTGGCGTGCTGAGATGACAGTAGGACATGTCCAGGGTCTGTGCTGCTGACCCTCCCTTTGGAGAAAGGGGCGTGCACATGGTGTTGTGTGGTAGAGCATGAAAAGTATGTATGCCTGCAGGAAGTGGCACTGTGGTGACCCCAGGAGGAGTGAGGCAGCTCCGGAGGCAACTGTCGCCCTCCTGGAGGGCGGTTCTGAGGTGTGAACACACTCAGTAGGACCCACCCGGAGCTCTGAACACAGGCTAGCTGCCCCTCCTAGCATCCTTGGTCATAGAAGGCACAGAGCTAGCTGCCAGTGTGCGGGGACTACGGGAGCCGTGTTCTCTGCAGCTGGGATATGGAGCTGAGTGCATCTTAGGTAGAGCTGGGAGCTTCTATTCCTGATAAAGCACATACGTTGTGGGCTGCTGGCTGACTTGATCTTGGAATGAAACCCAGCCCTGGCTGCAGGTATTGCCCAAGGTCCCCAGAGGCAGGAAGACAAGCGGGCTGCTGGCTATTCTGGTCTTCCCACCCAGCACAGCGCAGAGGCCTTGTTTCTCCAGAACTCCCCCATGGTTATAGTCAATCCTCTCAAGGTGAATAAATAACCGGCCTCTTCCCCTCTCCCCAGCATGAGTCAAGACACTGAAGTTAGAAAACGGATGGTGGGTGGAGGTCTTCAAGGTGCCCAGGCATCTGTTCCCACCAAGGAAGAGCTGTCCCCAGCGGAGGAGGAACAAAAGGCACAATGGCCAACTCACTGGAAACCCTTCCTGGTCAATGTGTGCATGGCCACAGTCCTGGCGACGGGTGCATATCTCTGCTACCGGGTATGTTTTCACTGACAGACCGCAGTGAGGCATGGAGTGTGGTGGGCACTGCTGCTGCCCAGCTTAGGATTCGGTCTGCGACGTCTGACCCAGTGTGGGGAACAGCTCGCAAGCCTGCGGTGGAACTGGAAGGGCCAGCCCCAGGAGGGGCGTCAGTGCACTGGGCTTTGCAGGAGCCCCATGGTCCCAAGAACAGTCTAATCTCAGGGCCTTAACCTGTTGAGGAGAAGTGGAGGGAAATGCCAAATACTCTCACTCACTCGCTCTCACCTCACTCCTTCCCCTTCCTTTCTCTGTCTGTTTGTTTTCGGGGGGAAATTACAACACATTGTTGTTTTTAACATTTATAAAGGCAGGATTTTGTTATTTGTGGGAGGAAAAAAAGACGCTAGGCACCGATGAGATTCTTTTGTGCCCTCTGGTGTAAGATCGGATCCATAATTTACATTGATTTCCCAGGGGAAGGATCCCAAATGGTCAGGAATATAAAGCTCCTGCTGGCTTGGACAGCCGCCATTGTGTACCCTGAGCTGGCAGGTGCCCCGAAGCCACCCTGCTATGAGGAGAGCAACAGCACAGGCTGGCTCTAAACAGCAAGGCCAGCTCCGCTTTGCTCAGGTGTCCCTCTGCTACATTTCCATTCTTATCCTTATCCATATGCACGCACGCGCGCACACACACACACACACACACACACACACACACACACACACACACACACACACGTACGTGACCTTGTGACAGCCATCTTGCTGATGCCCCAGCCCTCACCACCATACTCCTTTAATGGGTTTCCCCCGAGGGGCCTGTCTCGGGGTCAAGTTCACCTTAGATGGCTGCCAGCATCATCCTGCGGCTCTCATTTCATTTGGAAAGTAAGCGCCACTGTGGTAGAGCCCACGCTGCTGAGGTGCAAGCATGACTGATAGAAGGAGCCTTGGTGTCATGGAAGCCACTTGGCAGGGCTGTTCCCAACCTCTGAAACATTCAGTCCTGTCCCAGTGAACATCCTTGAAGGCATCATCAGATAATGTTTGCAAAGTACAGAGACTCTCCGGAGTGGTGGTTTTCAGAGGCAGGACTCACAAAACACCACCGAGCGCTTGCCATGGCTGCTTCCGGACCTGGTGTGGCTGAGGCTGTGGGAAGGTGGGCACTGTGGATGCATCCAAGCACGAGCTTTCATGAGGTTGCTATCCAGCAGCACAGCTTACCCTCCAGCCTCAGCTGCAGGCCACAGTGGCCAAGGAACGGAGGGCCCTGTCCCGCAGAGCAAGTTGCAAAGGATGCTTGTTCAGCCATGCATCTCTCTTTCTGCCTTTCCCTTGTGCTTCCGCCCCTGGAGTAGTAAGGCCAGTGTGAGGAGTGCAAGGCGATGGCAGGGGCAGGGCACTGACTGGCTCGAGGCAGCTGAGGCCCCGCCCCTCCCTGGAAACCGCTGCACTCATATTTATTCACCTTTCCCAAAGGTGACCCAACTGCATGAGCATGTCAAACTGATAATGTCACATGTCAAGCCTGGTACCCAGGGCTCTGTCAAGTACAGTATCAGATCGGTCCTGGGGTTGAGTCAGGAATGCAAGACTGACAGGGCTGGGGGCCAGGAGCAGGAGCTGTAGGGGATGGGAGCAGTCTTCAGGGACGTGGAACAGTGTGGCCGTGTGTAAAGGCCCTGTGGCTACTGACATGATGTGTGAGGATGAGGGCTGCGCTTTCTCCCCATGACCTCGTAGGCCCCGTTCCCAGCCTCAGCTTTCCCTGTGAGTTAGAAAACACAAAGTCTGCCCTGGTGGTGCCATGTGCTTGACCTGGGGGCTTAGGTGCACACTCACTGTCAGCCCATGTCCAACCACCTCTGCATCCTCTGACCAGATGTGGCTGCTGCTGAGTAGTCACCACTCTGTGTGGGGACAGTGCTGTCCAGTGCAGATACTGCCTCACTCCTGGCAGGACACTCCAGGCTCCCTGGCCTGCCCCACCGAGCCCCACCACACCTCAGACATTCCACACTCGCACCTCATTCCCTGGACACTTAGGCAAGCAGGGCCCTTCCACCCTCTGGAATCAGCCCTCCATTCCAAGTTCACACTCTTCTGGAGCAAGCCAGGATTGGAAGAAGGCGGCGTGTGGGAAGCACTCTCCTGGGAACAGCCTGGGTGACAGTCCCTAGAATTAGCCCGCTGTCATCACTGGCCCAGGTCACTTTGCCCAGAGGAGCCACTCTTGAGCCTGGCAGCGATTGACGATGGTGCTTACGACTCTTCCTGTGAGGGGATTTAAGACCTCCACAGTGGGTGGCTTTTTTAAAATAGAAGCGAAGGCAGCTGGAACTCCAAACTGCCTCTTGCCAGCATTTCACATTTTGCCTTTCACCCAGAGAAGCCAGCACAGAGCCACTGGTGGGAGTGGTGGTGGCCTTGCCCGCAGAGCCTGGGGAGGTGGCACAGCCAGGGTCCAGGCTGGGAGCAGTTAGCTGTGGGCTGTGTCTGTAGTCGTGGGGTGTGTACAGTAGCCTTCTAGGTGGATGTCCTGGAGAACAGGATTCTCCACCCCGTTGCCTGTGTTGGGGGTAGCAAGCTGCTGTATGCCTTAAGCCAATATTTACTCAGCAGGTCGTACTTTTTTTTTTTTTTTTTTTAAATGGCCATGGAATTAAACCGTTTTTACAAAAATAAAAACCAACAACAAAAAAGTGTTCCGGTATAGTACCTTTGCAGGTGTGTGGGGTGGTGCATGCCCCAGTGGGGTGTCTCAGGGTCTTCTGTGACCTCACAGAACTGTCGGACTGCACCGTTTCCAACTTGCCATATCACTAATGGGTCTGCATTTTAGTTGCAACAATAAATGTTTTTAAAGAAGGTAGATGTGAAATGCTTCCCTTTTCTTTACCTGATGGACCTGAACCAGGATGGGCAGCCATCTGTCCTTCCCTGCCAGCATGAAGTAGATGTCTGCCCTGTAGGGTTAGCGTGCCCTGGGCTGTGTGTGTCAATGACTGGCCAGCTTGTCTTTGCTGCAGAGCTTTGGGGTCCTCGGGGCCTCCACCGCTGTGTCCTTTCAGGAATCCACCCTTCGGCACCTTGGAATACTTTATCAAGACTTACAGTATCACTGGAATCCCTGTTTCAGGCTCCATACTGTGCCTCGGCCAGCTGCCTGTCACGCACCATGGTCATCCTGTCTCAGAACATCCATGAAGCCACATTTGATGTATACTTGACAGAAATGGAAATGAGACCCAAAAAGCAGTGTGGCCTCCCGTTCGTGTACAAGACTAACTAAGCATGTAGGGTCCCCAGGTGACTGTTTCAGAGTCGTTTCAGACTTGTTCAACGACACATCTTTAATCCCAGCACCCAGGAATACAGAAGCAGGTGAATCTCTTGAGTTCAAGGCCATCCTGATCTACAGAAAGCAAGCTTGGCCCTATTATCTCTCAGGGAGTCCCATTGCTTGTGCAGTAAGTGGTCCCCACTGTGGTCCTGGAGCCAGAAAACCATGGAAGGACCGTACCTACTGTCCAACTGAAAGTTTCAGCTATGAAAAATAGTGTCTGAACTTTCACAGAGTATACCAGTATGATATGTACCTGGGACAAATCCAGTGGGGAAAGGCTTGGCAAAGGTCTGGGCCGTCCTCAAAGTATCCACAGAGGAGGGTAGCCATCCATGATGGGAATCAAGAGTGGGCAGGATCCCCGATGTGCCCTGGCCACACCCTCTCCCATGTGGCTATAGGACACAACCTTATAATGTACTTGGCAGTAAGTGAACATATACTACAGAGTTTTTAATTGAGATTTCAGAAAATGGACGTGAATGAGGCAAATAAATACCAAGGTAAGTCAGCACACATGGTCCACATGAGTCTAAATGGGATGTCTAAGTCCACCCTGAGAGCCACTCCAGTGCTCGTGGACATCTCAGACACATAGCTACCTCAGTGAAAACCTCAGCTCTGACTTCTGAAGCACTTCATCTCGTGGGCGGGCGGCAGGTTGTCATGTGCAGAAAGTGAGCCTGCCCCTGGCTCGTGGTCTCGGCCCATGTTTACCAGACCAGTTCAGGGCGTACAGCGAGCTCACATTCCCAGCATGTCTGTCTCCGAGCCTCACCTTGTCTTAGATCCTTGATGGCAGCCAGCTCGAGCTGGCCCTGACACTGTGCCCCGGAAGGCAAGACAGGCCAAAGCAGCATTTGGGGGAGACCACACTACTTCCTGCTCTGTGAACACACCCCTGTGCCCTTGGGCTGGGTACTGACCCAGACCTCAGGCAGCCATCCTGACCAGCTCACATTTGTTTGATCCAAAACTTAGGCTCTGTGGAAGCTGGGCAGCATCGAGGAAGAAAGGTACAGGATTGGAGCTCACTGGGCAGCTTCTTAGAAAATTGTGATTTCAACATCTGCTTCCTCGTAGATTTCTTGTTCTGACTGGAGTTTGTCCATCTTCTCGAAAGCTAGACGGCCTTTCTCACCTGGAACACACAGATGTCTGTCACCAGCTTTGTGCGGGCTCTTGTATCTAGAGGGGCAGGGCAGTAGTGGTTGGGGAGTCCCCTGCCCCTGCTGTTGACTGAAAACAGTCCACAGCTAAAACAGCCTTCTAGTCAGAGGTCTCCCGGCACTAGCTTGGCTTTGCCCCTGCCTTCCATTTGCCATAAACAACGTGTAAAAACAATGGCTGTCAACCCCCTGTGAAGGGACCCTGAACTGAGCAGGGGCTGCAAAGCACGGGTGGCCTGCAGCAGGGTCCCTAGCTGCTGGTATTGACAGCTGAGGTGGTGTCACCAGAGCCCTGGGACACCCCCCCCCCCCGGGACCCCACTGAGCTGTGTGGACCGGGTGTCTGGCCGCACTTTACCAAATGACAGTGTCGCTTCCCGGGCTGCCACTCGCACCGCCTCCAGGTCAGACCGACACAGGCTGGCGATCTGTTCAACACTTTCGATGCCCTGTGAGGTCAGGAGGCAGGGGCTTGTCAAGCAGGCAGCACTAGACCTCACCGTCACCCCTGCAGTGCCAGCTCTGGCACGGTCCCTGGGGCCTTGTCTGTCCTTTTCTTGAGAAGCCTCCAGGCTTCTTCCTTTGCCCCTGGTCCTTCAGCGACACCTTTGGGAATCTCTTCCACACCCCAGTGCAGGCCTTGCCATCAGCTTGTGTGTTGTCCTAACAAACCCTGCTGTCTTCTGGGACTTGCTGAGCCCTGACTGTCCTCCCTGGAGAACCAGGGCCTGATTGCCACACATCCACAAACCGCTCTCCCACAGGACCTCCTCCTCGCCCAGCACCTGAGCCTCAGCAGGTGGTCCGCCAAGGACGGGGGGGGGGGGGGGGCGGGGCAGCCCTGAGCAAGTGGAAGTGCTGGGTTTCCCCTATGTTGAGTCAACTCCCATGCACGAGAGAGCAATAGGGTTACACAAGGTGGATTCCCAGCAGGGATGTAAGTGAACTCACAGGATCCCCTTCCCTTCCACCATGGGAGTGTGGGGAAGGTATGCAGCAACCCTGTGTCATCTAGCCCAGCAAGATGAGCTGGACCCCTGTGTGGGGTTTATGAAACCTTATTTACAAAAAATGCTCATGGTGGCATGTATGAGTTTATTTTATGAGACAGGGTCTCACTATGAAGCCCAGGCTAGCACACGGGTATGTGCCACCACACCTGGCTGTTCTTCCCCCCCCCCCCAGTGCATGGAAACTACATTTTCCTGTGGCTGTGTGAGTATACCTGTGCACGAACACATTCCTACACACACACACACACACCCCATGTTTTGAGATAGGATCTCTCCTAGCCTGGAGCTCACAAGCTATGGTGGCTGGCTGACCAGCCAGCCCAGGAATCCCCTGCTTCTGGAGTCACAAGCCTATGCCACCACTTAGAGCTTTTTATGGAGTTCTGAGGTTCCACACAGTCCCTCATGCTTGTAGGCACGTAGCCCTTGTCCCTGTAAAGTCATATTTAATAGCAATTTCAGGGTGCTCTGTTCCTACAAGCAAAAAAGGAAATGTGCCAGAGGTGGCCAGTCAGTCACTTCTGCTGAAGGCTAGGGTGACAGGCAGCTTTCACATTTCCGTATCTTGTCTTTTTCTCATTTACAAGAATTTGTCAAAGTTAAAACACGTTGAACTGGGCAGGGAGTCCCTTGGTGTGGGGACCTCAGCTTTGAAGTCTGTGGCTGCTAGTGACACCCTCTACCAGCCCACTCCCATCCTTTCCCAGGGAAAGCATTTAGAAGCTGCTGCTGCTGCTGCTGCAGCCGCCCTCACCCCTAGGGAAGACTCACCCCAAGCTGCTGCAGCGCCATGCATGACGCCTGCTGGACCTTGGCATCACTGTCGTTTAAGGCGTTGGTGTAGTGCAGGAGAGCCTGGGGGTGGGGGTGGGGCAGCAGAACTGGTCAGAGGTCAGGGCAGGCAGGTCCCCAGGGGGCTGAACACTGCAGATGCAGCAGTGACCCCAACTCGGCTCTTCTCTAAACCAAACTTGGGGTGAGACCTGTCATTCTTTGGCCAGGTGTATCGCCCAGAGGTGGCCTAGCCCAAGATTACTAGCTGGCTTAGTAAGTGAACTCCGCAAAGACTTTTTTTTTTTTCCCCAAGACAGCAGTTCTCTGTGTGGCCCTGGCTAGCTTCGAACTCACAGCGATTCACCTGCCTCTGCCTCCCAGGTGCTGGGATTAAAGGCATGTATCATTACACCAGCTCCACTTGAATTTCAGCCCCGGGACCCATGTTGTAGACAGAGAAAACGGACTCCCTGAGGCTGGCCTCTGACCTCCAGACTCATGATGTAGAGTGCACACACAATCAGTCAGTAAATAGTGGATTTTTAAGCACTCACGAATAAATAAGTAAACAGATGGATAAATAAATAAATATTAGATTTTTAGAAGCACCTCTCAGATGCCGCGCAGGACTGAGAGCCTAGCCCAGGCTGTGAGCCGGTGCTGGGTGTACCCTTAACCCTGTGAGTCTCAGCACCCTTAGGGGTCACATGGTAGATACTTACATTACAACTAACTCATAACAGTAGCAAAACTACAGATATGAAGTAGCAGTTAGATAATTTTATGGTTGGGGGGGGGGTCATCACAACACAACTAACCATGTAAAAGGTCCCAGTGTTAGGAAGGTTGAGAACCTCTGCACTCATGACTCCAGCCCCACGATCAGGCCTCTTAAAACACTTCAACCTCCAGTCTGGTGAGGTGAGTGTGGCCCCAACACCCACTTTGTGCTCTTGCACACCCAGCCAGAATGCCCGCGCATGCACCACACCTTTTCCCGGAAACGCCTGTTCCTGGCAGCACTGGCCAGGCGTGCTCTGGCAACCCTGCACACCCTCGGGGGTCCATCCAGCTGTAGCAAGGCCCATGCTTGAAGAGTCTGGGGTAGGGGCTGCAGCTGGCCCAGACGTTTACCATGCAGCTTCTTCAAGGCCTTGGCTGGGCCTGAGCAGTGCAGCTCCTCAATGAGAGTAACTGGAAAAGAGAGAGGCAGGGACCATCAGTGGAGACTCGGCAACTCTAAGGCAGAGGGGCATCACCACATACCAACAGACACTTGTAGAAATGGATGGGACACACCCTGAAACAAACAGAACCACTGGCCTGCCTGGGTGCCGTGGTGCGCACCTGTAATCCCAGCACTTGGGAGACTGAGGCAGGAGGATGGAGAGTTTGAAGTCAATCTAGGCTACACAATGAGACCCTGACTCAAAAAGAAACCAGAAGTGAGTTCCTGGCTCCCAGCTCCTCTCCCTGGGGCTGCTCTGGCCTATTATTCGTCTCCCTCTCTCAGCTCTTATGGCTCCAAAGAGATTTGCATGCCATCTGAATGGTAGCCTAAACTAGGAGG